GTCGTCTACTATTAGTTAGTTATAGTAGTACGTAGTTAGGTCGTATTACTTACTACTTCCTACTATATATATATATATATATATATATATATATATATATATATAAAAGGATGTAACCTTATAATGTAGAACTAGGGATGCACCTCAAAAATCCATCGGAAAAGGTAGTTTTAATGTTGAAAAACCCTTTGATCATCTTGACATTATGACCATGAAAAAAAAAAAAGATTGAAGTCTCATAAATAGTGCATTTTACAACATATTATCTACACTGTCTATTTTCAAGATTTTCATATGTTTATAGATGTACTTGATTTTGACTATTTTTTAAATTTCAAATTTTATAATTAGATATAAAAATAGATTTTGAGATAATCTTAAAAACATTTTACATTAAAATTATATACTATGATAAAATTTGAAGGTGCACCTTACCTGCGCAGCTTGATGACAATATAGAAAAAATCGGGTGGTTGAGATTTTAACTGTTTAGTTAAACCCGGTCAGATCAGAATCGACTACCAACCTGTTCTGGTTTTTGCCGGTTTTAGTGAATCGGCCGAATATTTTTAAAAAAAGTTAAAAAATTTATGTAACTTTCTAAAAAATAAGGGAGTTTATTTGTAATGTATTTTTTTAAAAATGCTTTTGATCATTTTCAAAAAGATTGAAAATTGTTTTGGCTGTTAATAATTATTTTTACAAACGATTCTTTAAAATTATTTTCTCATATTATTTACAAACGATGCCTTTGATCATTTTCTCATATTTTTTGAAATTTTTTAAAAATACCCTTGGGCACAAACAATTCTTTAAAATCTATTTTTTCATTAATTTGAACTTCATTTGGATGAAATTTGCTTAATCATGTTTTAAATATATTTTTCATATTTTATTAGATTTTTTGATATTTTTGAATTTTTTTTATATCTTTTTTTACCTCCCGAGAATTGTTCGGTTAGGGCAATTGATCCGCTTCCAACCCCATGTCCGTTGGTAATGAAAGAGATGGAGGAAGAAGGGATAGATGGTGTGGTGCCTCTCTTATTGCAATGAAGCTTATTTTGTTCATCCCAAATTGGAGGTCTCTTACACCATATATGTATGTTAGGAGATAAATATCTTTGAAAGTGTGTATTTGTATGTGTTGTGTTTGAGAGAGAGAGAGAGTTCATAAATCAACTTTAAATAATTGTCCTTCAAGATAGAATCACGATGTGATGAATCAGTTCTTATCCATATATCAGAAGACGATCAAGGATTGGCAGCTGGGCAATTTGCTGCCTTTTACTGTAAAAATGTTTCCATTGGGTCTGGTATTATCTTGGACTCATGGGACGATCAAAACTTTCCAGTTTGTTCCAAGGCTATTGAGAGAGCGAAAATGGAGGACAAATCTAAATTTGGTTTACCCATCAAAATTAAGGTAAAATCTGAGCCGAATCCAAAGAGTTTTGATTGTAAAGACAATGAGCTTTTGCTTGCAGGGCCCAAAACTGAAGGAAAGCTGAATGTAGCCATGAATTGGTTTCAGAGACTAAAAACAAAATGGTTGAATTTATTCTAATTCAGTATTTTCTGGGTTTTACTAGAAATTTGTTCAGGGTTGGCGTGTGTAATTCTGTTTGTTTTTGGATCTTAAGCAGCTGATAATCTCGTCATTTGAGGCCATGGATTGCACATATAATCTTATAACCACAAGTGAGGAAGGATGAAAGAGATTATAAGCAAAAAGGATGGAGTAACTGATAACCTTATATGATATGAGTGTATTAAACTATTTGGTGAATGGTTTAGTTTCTTTTTTTAAAATGGATTCATTAGCGAATGCATCTTGTTGAATAAGAAACTACTAATTTTGACAGAATGAAGTCTTGACTTCTGAAATCAAATCAAATTGGATGAACAAATTCATGTTTCTCACATGTAGGACAAAAGTATTTTTTCCATTTCTGAATTTCTTGCCAAAGGTATTGGATACTTTCCATTTTCTGAATTTCTTGCCAAAGGTATTGGATAGCTTCCTCTGATGATCATAGAACAAAAATGGTTGTTATACCTTCACAATTATCTATCAACTTGCATCAAGTGCATTAAGTTTTCCAAAATTTAACTCTGGTGGTTTTACCCTTGGTTAAGTAAAAAGATAATTCAGCTTATGGGAACTTTTATGGTAAAATCAAAAGGTTACTCTTGCTCATGGTTTAGTATTGCATACAGAATTTCATTTTTAGTATAGCATACAGAATTTCATTTTCTATTTATCTTTAGTTGGATTCTCTCTATACTTCTTTTTTTCCTTTCATCTATTAATTTCCATAAGCGATGCGACAAACTTGCTCTACAGTTAAACAGTTGGAGAATAAAAATTGCTATGCATTACATTCTAGTGTGTAATATAATCCCTTTTCTTAGCAAACACACTTGCTTGAGTAGTGCTTGACTAGCTTTCTGGTTGTTAATGAGTAGTACTCTTCTCCGTCGAGTGTGTGTGTTAGTGAGAGAGAGAGAGAGAGAGAGAGAGAGAGAGAGAGAGAGAGAGAGAGAGAGAGAGAGAGAGAGAGAGAGAGAGAGAGTAGTAGTAGTAGTAGTAGTA